CTGGCCACCGTGCTCGTGCTGGGGCTGGGCAAGGCGCTCAGGGTGCTCAAGTTCCCGGACTTGGACAGGAACATACCTCGGAAGGTGAGGGGCGCGCAGGGGTGGGGGCATCCTCAAAAGCAAAGATGTGCACGCGCTAGGGAGCAGGGAGGCACGGGTGGAAGAAGAGCAGGTAAGCAAAGTGGGAAGGAATGGCGCTTTTTAGTTTGAAAGAAAAAAAAAAAAAGGAAAGCAGAGCGTAGTCCTCGCCCTGTTCGCCTGCAGGGCAGGTTTCTGCTCCGGGCGCCGTTTAGATCTGGTTCTTGACGCGGGTATTCCTTCGCGGGGCCGGCTGCCTGTCCTCCTGCAGGCAGAGGATCCGCTTGTAGCCAGAGGTCTTCCCCTGGATCCTTTGCAAAGTGTTGCCTAAGGGCACCGTGTTGCTCACAAGCGGAGAAAAATGCGTGCATGTTCCCATTTGGATTTGAACCCCAGGCTGCGCAAATATTTTTTTGGCCTGCGGAGATGCGGGGCGGAAAATTTTCCAGCGCGTTTTTTTTTCCGTGGGAAATTTTCCATTTCTAAAAATGCATTGTTTCATAAAATACATGAGTAACGAGGAGTGGATACTAATACAATATTCGGCAAGCTTGGCAGTTTTAAAGTTGTAATGAATGTTTTTCTGGTGATTATCCCTAGGAAGTGTGAGAGAGAGAGTACATGTATGTTTTATTGATTTGTAAACAGGAGGGTAAATACGCTCCTATAATAATCCAAACCAAAAATCAAGTTCTGAATTCACTTCATGGGCTGTGCAGGTCAAAGCACAGTTCTTTGGGGGTGCTAAAATGAGCGTGTCAACAGTTTTCAGTGCCTTCATTTTTTCCCTTAAATTTAAATGAGCAATGTAAGGGAAGTACATGCTATTGTGTATTGTCTTTACATTTTTACAAGTATTCCAATACAAATAATTTCTTTCCACATACAGCTTTGAATTTGTTTGATTATAACATTTAAACCACATTAAGTGTGCTGTATTTAATTTTTTTCCTAATCAAATATTTCAGTTCAAATACTTGTGGCTATTGGGACATAAAATTAACATGGCAGTACTTTTTTAGTTTTGTATATTAAATGTAAGTCAAATAAAGATGCTAAATCAGATCATGCTCTATTTAGGGCATTGGAAAATTTTCCAATTCAAAATTTCCGGAAAACCCACATCTTTGTTTGCTTGTCACCTTTCCATAGGACTGATCCCAGATGTAAAAGATCTTCTTATGATGTCAATTGGGACTCATGGAAGAGGTGATCTCTTGTATTAGATCAGCGGTTCTAAACTGGGGGTACATGTACCTTCAGGGGGTACATGAAGCCTCATCAGGGGCTATGTGAGATATATTTTATACATTGTCTAACACAGGTTGAAGGGTCTAAAAAATTAATTTCCCATTGAAAGGAGGTATGTGAAGTCTCACTCTGAGACTAAGGGGTACATCGACTGAAAAAGGTTCAGAACCGCTGTATTAGATGAACTAGATACTTGCAAAAAAGATTCTTTAATTACAAACTTTTTTGCAAAAATCTATTTGGTCTAATAAAAGAGATCACCTCTACTACGAGTCCTTATTGCTTTTGCCTCTCCAGACAAATACAGCTACAACCTGGATCCCGTTAAATCAGCTTTTTATTACATATTCCCTGAAGTTGTGTGGGAGAGGCTCCTGGCTAGGGATGGAAAGAATTCTGTTCACTTAACCCTGTTACTGTTTGAGCGTGTAGTTTTCTAGCTGCTTTTTCTTGTTCATTGAGTGTTATCCTTCTTATAATTTTCTAGACGTTTCCACTACCTCTTCTATATTTTGGGAACCAAATCACAGGACTGTTCAGCACAAAGAAACTGAAGTATGGATAACTTTTATCTATTGGGTTATAATGCTTATCTTATGATAATATAATGTATGAACAAATTAATGTGATATTTCTGCGTGTGTTAATTTTTGGCAATATAGGGGAATGGAGGTTTAGAACTATTATTTGAAACCTAATCATTAAGGCTCAGTTTTACTCTGATTTTTGTTTTTATGTTGGCAGATACATGGGCGTGCAGATTCTTTTAGGAGTGATAGTTACTTTAAGTATTTCAAGTATCTGGAGGCTCTAGTTTGACCCGGATTGTTGGTCAGGGCTGTGAGTTAGCGTGGTGGGAGTGAGCTTGATGCTGCTGTTTCTTTGTGACCTGCCATGATCCCCTACTAAGCAGCTTCAGGGAGAGTCTCTGAAAACCTTCCCTCTAATCACTGGCTGTACATCGCTGTTGTGAACAAGGTTGAAAGGAAGGGAGGAGATTGGGATGGGGGATGCATGAGGTCCTTGCCTGATGCTCTTGTTCCAGGCAAGATCTGAAAAATGTCCTGGGTAAGTATTTAAAAATCATAAAGTAATGCTTTCCAGGCAGACATTATTTTTGTTAGTGGTTCCAGTGACACAGTGCATCTTTGAGGATTGTCTATTTTTTTAATACTTGACCAGTATTTGGGAAGTGGAGAAGAGGATAGAAGTGTCTTAAATTATGCATGTAGTTGGGGGTTCAGGATGTCTCATCCCATCAGGTATGACGTTATTTTGAGGGAGTGTAGGGCAGAGACTTGCAGTAATTGACATGGCTCTTCATGGACTGCTGTTTGTATTGTATTGTACCTTGATTATATGTATTGCATTGAATGAAGTTGGATATGCAGTTAGTTTAATCAGAGTTTGCTATTCTGGGGGTGCGTCTATGTGTTCATTAATGCACCCTAGTTATTATGCATTAAGTTTAATACTTGGTTAACCAATTCAGTGCTCAGTAACTCACACTACTGTGCAGGAGTGCCAGCGCATGTTTGTTTGTTTTTAACACTTACCTTACTGTAGCCTAATAATAACACTGCATAGTAATGTGTTAGCATGGTTGACCGGCACACTACTGCGCAGTAAACTTCTCGTGTAGATGCATCCTGGATTTCACAGATTTGTGTGGCCATAACCTTATGATGGCAAATTAAGCTTTTGAAATAACATGTACTATATAAAACTTATGGGAGATGGAGACTTCCTCCTGTGAAAAGTCCTTGGTAAATTTTAAACCTTTTGGCTTATCAAGTTAATGCAATTTCCAGGAGGAAAGTCATCACATCACTATTACAGTGATAGCCATGTGTGGCTCTATTTGTAGTTTGTATCTCAGTTCTAAAATAACTGTTGTTGTTTCAAAGTGTTGCTGTGAGGGTGAACTTCAAGTGTCAAGTAACATGCCTGTGTATTTGGAGGGGAAAAATGCTACATTGTTTTTAATCTTACTCCTCTTCTTTGCAGCTTGCCAATGTTTACAGTTTTGCGAAGGTTTTCTATTTTGTTTACCATGTTTGCTGAAGGAATTTTACTCAAGTAAGTTCCATTTCCAAGTTTATTAGTTGACCTTGGAGACTATTTATATTAATAAAAAAGCTAAGATAGGAATAAGGGCATGCAATATTTTTGTAAGCCTTTGTGTATAGAAGATGTGTGCAGTCAATTATAGTGGTCTGTCAATGTGACTTCAGAAATGTAGGTGTGAGAGAGAGAATAAGATAAATACAATATTTCATTCTGTAATAAGAATGATTTGGAGTTGAATGGGTCCCTTGCCTCTGCTTTTTTAATAAAACCTATGTCAAGTTTATATATTTCAATACATACTAAACAAAGTATGGCTCTTTTAGTAATTGTGGCTCTTATAGTAATATACAAGGGACTTTATATTATATGGCTGTCCCTTATAATGAAGATGACTCCGTGTACAGATTGAGTCTATATGTCAGATAGATAGGTAATAGACAGTTAATTCGGCAGTGAGGGTGTACAGTGTTTTCCTGCCTGGATGACATCAGGACTCTAACTTAATTGTCTCTGTGGCACTGGTCATTCGTAGTATAGGCAGGACCACTGCAACTTGGTTTACCATTTCTTCTCATTGAAGTGGGTGACTTGATATTCCAGACTGTCTTTAACTACCTGTTACAGGCACTACCCACTGGGCGCATCTACATGTATCCATAAGGCACCTTTGTTACTGTGCTGTTATGTAGTACTTCCTTTTGGAAGTACTAAATGATGGCACAGTAACATCCTGTATTGCATTATGTGCATCATACAGGGTTACTTTTAGTTGCTACGTCGCCGTAGCAATGTGCTATAACAAGGGAGTGTGTGGCTGTGGCGATGTAGCATCATGTATAGACACTCCCAGTATTAACTATTGCTTCCTCCACCTCTGGCATGTCACTTGTTTGAAGACTTGTCAGTGTTTGTGACTAATTAACACACCACTGTGACATTATCTTACTGACAGGGATCAGACCTGAGAGGTGGGCATTCTGATTCTCTGCTAGTGGGCTAGCTCAGTACAGAGTAGAGATATTAAAGCTCACTAGAAAGCTACATCCCATTAATCCTAATAACAAATCAAATATGCTTTTGTAGGGTTTTGCCTCTTAGATATTTTTGCACTAGGTTTTTGAAGTGTGAATTGACCAACACCTTTCCCATGATGATAAATACTGCCTAGAGATTATTATTATTAATGGTAATAAGAATATTTTTGAAATCCAAATTGCTTAGGAGTGATAGCTGAGTTATTTCTCTCTCTTTTTTAAATCTTTACAGAAAGAAATTTTCTTGGGGCATTCAGATGACAGTATTTGCAATGATAATTGGTGCATTTGTAGCTGCTAGGTAAGATTTCAAGTTACTAGCTCTTCTATTTTGTTTACACAACTAACTTGTCAAAGACATTGCTGCAATACATCACTAACAAACATACTTGGTATAGGCTAACAAAGTTGATCAGGAATCATAATGTAGTAATTTTAAGGTAGCTTTTAAGTGACTAAATCCTGGCTGCTTGCTGTGAAATATGAAAACTGTAAACTTGTTTCAGTTCAGCTGTAGTTCTTTTTTCCACTCTTTGGTATGGTTCTGGTAAAAACTAGAATGTAGATAAACCAAGCCTTATTTCCATTTTATACTTGAAAGTTGTATTAATATTGGTTAGAAATATGAGTCACTTAAAAAAAGCCCTAATGTGGATCCAGGTATAAAAAGTACCACATACTAGTATAACAGATTGCCTTTCATGCATGTAGAGAAGTAAAGTGAATAGAAAAGCATTCTTACTTATACAATCAAATCCATATTAGGTGTCCAACTTTCTAGTGTAAACAAGGCCCAAGTCAAAAGTATAGAGGCTTATTTTATAGTGTTTTGTGATTCTTTGCTTTAGCAGCTTTGATTAGCATGAAATACTGGGTTTCATCATTGTGAAAAGGTGAGTGGAAAAACTAATTTGATGCCGTATGAAAAGAGCAGGGGTCAGTATGTTTGTTGGACACAATCTATAACTGGAGAAAACAGTTTCCAGGCCAAAGCTCCAATCCTTCAAACACGCACGTAGTTAACTTCTCTGCCAGGAGTAGTTTCTTAGATGAATGGACCTACTTGCTGTAACAAAGTTTTTAAATGTATGTTTGCCAGGTTCAGGGCCTTGGTTTGTACAGTTATTATATGTCTTGGGTCTCTCTCTCAGATGTAGAAGCTAGCTTGCCAAAAGAGGTTTGAGAAAATACAGTCTGCAAACTTGCTGAAAAATTTAAGTCCCATATAGAAAGGACCGATCAGATTAAATAGAATGTGGCCAAGCTTTTTCATAGGTGCTGAAGAATTTTAAAATATTATTTCTTTCTCTCTTTTTTTTCCCCTCTCACCCAGTTCTGACTTGGCATTTGATCTGGAAGGATATATTTTTATCCTGGTCAATGATGTCTTAACAGCTGCAAATGGTGCATATGTAAAACAGAAGCTGGATTCAAAGGTAGGCTGACCTCTGTTCTCATTTTTAAAAATGTCGCTATTTGTTGTAAAGTAACAGCTAATCTGTAACCTGACCACTGGTATAAATTTGAACACCATGTGAATGGAAGCCTAATTGTTCAGGACAGAAAATGTTAGTCTGTTCTGCTGCTCATATGGTGTGTTAATCTGATCCTTTATTTCCTGAAGTATTGTGCTCTGTCTTTAAACAGATCACACCTTATCACTTTCACATAAAATAAGATTTTTCTGCTGTTCCTCGTTCTTGTCTTCTGAACAATATTTTATTGTTCTTAACTTGACACTTCTATTCTGCTGCATGTAGCTTGAAATGAACCTTAATATTGATCGCATAAAACTGTAACAGCATGTTTGTTTGTATTGGCCCCATGGTCCCTAAGTAAAGTATTCAGTTCAGCTAGTTAGCTGCAAAGTCAGGGTCCTCTTGAAAGAATTAATAATCTGGTTCTTTGTTAGGCTGTGAACTGCCATTCTTCTCCCTCCCCAGCCTCTCAAGGGCAGGAAGAAGCAACATGTGAGCCTGCTTTGTACTTTTTTTCAGCTGAACCCAGAAATGTTGTGTCTGTGTAGATGCAGCTGGTTGGGTTTGGTTTTTTTTTGTTTTTTTTTTTTTTAACATTGAGGCAGAGTTGCCTCAGCCTTAATGGGGGGTTGCAGGAATCTCTGGCCAAGTCCTTATGAAAAAATAGTTGTTAATTGTTAGTTGTTAATATTAAAAAATAGTTGTTTAGGCTGCTCTGAAAGTACAAGGTGGAACTTGTTGGAGGTGTCCAGTTGGAGCCATCCCTAGGGGTGTGCGGGGCCCAGAGCATACCAGCCTTTGCGGGGCCGGGGGAGTGGGGGTGACGACTGCCCACAGAACGTGGCGTCTGCGCCGGGGGGGACAACTGCCCACAGAAGCTGGTGGCAGCGGGGCCTGTACAGCACTGTCCACGGCGTCCCCCAAAGTGCAGGTCCCAGGGCGGTTGCCTTGATTCACCCTCCCCTAACAATACATCATATGAGAGATAAGTGTGACCTTTATCTGCAGGGTGAGCGTCAGTAAGCCTTTATTTTGCCAGACAAGACACAAATACAAGCAGATATAAATCATTTAGCATGTGTTTTGACATTTGCCATGAAGCAGCTTCTAAACTTGCTAATAGTGATTGTGAACACCGAGACTGTAATTTAAAATGCTTTTCTTAATCTTAATTCTCCTTTTCGTTCCTGTTATGAGGAATTGCATGGGGTTTTTTTTGTTTAGCCTAGATGTGGTCTCAATGCAGGTGACTGCAGTTTGTGTGTGGCCAAGGTGGCTAGAGGTTGGGAGGGTCTTGTAAAGAATTTGTTGCTGTGGGCAATGGCAAAATACCATGTGTATCTCGAGTTAGGCATGTTGCGGACGTATGTCCTACTACTAGCTTTCATAGCCCATTTTAGCGTTATACGCTTACACTTCATTCTTAAAATGCTTAGGCATAACTGTACTCTATTTGACAGGGTAGAGACTTCACTTTGACTAATTGTACCGATTAAGCAGGTTTCCAAGCCTGTTATGTGGAAGCCAAACTAGGTAAAAATTAAAAAAAAAAGGCTAATGAATGGAGTATAGTCTGAGTTAGAGATCACTCGTCAAAAGAGTTCCACAATAATCTTTCCCTCCTCTTGGAAATACAGTTGAATGCTTCTGCTGCTGTCGTAAACAGGGCTAAACGATCCACAGCATCTCACTGTGGTTGACTTTCCTACATCACGAGTTAACCAAGTTTTCTTTGTTGGGTGTCAAACAGTTTGGCTCTGTCTACACCAGTATGGAAAGTGTGACCAGTGGAAGATATTCTTGCATCCTGGGTGTCCAGACACTCCTTGTTGTCAGAACAAGTGCCTTCTCCTTCTCATCTCTTCTGAATTCCAAACCAAAAAGCTTTTGCTACCTGAAATGAAAGTTTACGTCTCTGACAGTTTGCCTACATTTCAGGAGTTAATAATCAAAACCATTGTGATGATTATTTTTTTTAATTCTTCTGGGTCTCTGAAAGAGCACCAACAATTTGGACTTGCTTAATGCCTTCAAAATATCATACAAAGGTTTCTTCATATTTTTAAATTTTTGGTATTACTCCAACTTGCTGATGAAACTTAGTAGCTCTGTGCATAAGGTTCTCTGTTTCTATTTGGAGCCAACCTAAATACACAACTATTTCCTATTCCTAGGAGCTGGGAAAATATGGTCTGCTTTATTACAATGCACTGTTCATGATTCTTCCCACTTTGGCCATTGCCTATTTCACAGGAGATGCGCAAAAGGTAGGACTTTTATTTCAAATTATGCAACTGAAATGTTTCAATGAAATGTATATGTTTAAAATATTCTGCACTGCTAGAGAAAATGTTCTACTATATATTGCAACTTGCAAATGCAGAATTACTTCCTATGTTTTCTTAGCTCCCTCTTAATATTCACTTTTATACGTTAAGTATTAAACTCATCTAGATTTGCCCTTTCATCTTTCCATAATTAGTACCTGGCATCTACTAGCTAAACTGCGTATAAGATATCATATTTAAGGAAGAGTTAACAGGACAAATATATTCCCTAGAAGATTGAGAATTGAGCATTAGTGACCTGATTTCTGTTTTGAACTTTGAAAATTACTATATGCCAAGTATCTTCATGAGCACTAAGCAGTTCTCTTTTCCTCAAGAGAAATGGAATAATTAAAAGCAAGTACTAGACAGACTGAAATTCTTCTGGAGTAGGTTTTGTTGCTATCCAGACTATGCTAGAAAGATGAAATGCCTGTTCTTTTGTAAAAGTGATCACATTACTTGTGGTGATTCTGAGCACTAGTATCCAGTATGTCTGATTTGTTACTGCTTGTGTTGGTGCTGGAAACTTCTTTTTTTTTTTTTTTTGCACACCTGTTTCAGTAAAATAGATTGGCATCTCGTCTTTCCAGAGACACTACTCAAGGGACTTTCAACTACAAATAGTTTTGGCTAAAAAGAGAAATGTTGGAACACTTGCATACCAATTGAGCATGTCCTCTATCACTGGATTTATTTATGGGTACCATTAATGGTCGCTGTTTAAAGACATGTACTCACGTTAGTGGGTGGAAATAGTTGAAGCACAGAGTAATTCTTAATGGTGCTCCTTTATTAGAACCACAATCTGCCTGCCATCCTATAAACTGTTAGAATGCTTGCTGAATAGATATTTAAAGAAGACAAGCTTTTCACCTCCTGCATATACTAGTTGGAACATTTTTTATCTGTTAGTTTAATGGAATGAAGAATAATGCTGGCAATCAATCAGTTTAGATAATGAATATACAACTAGTTGTGAGAGAAACTGAATGTGGATAGAAAGAGTATTTCTGGCCCCCTGCTCCTAAGATAGATGCAAGGCAACTCAGCTGGAATATATTTGAGGAAAATGTGCTCATTTATGAACCGGAGCCAACAGACATAAAGTAGAATGTCGACTGTGTGCTACACTGGGGAGTCTGTATTCACACTGTGTAGAAATCTCTCTTCCCAGTTTTTTTGAATAAACTTTCTTTAACTCAGCCAAAAGGTTGTTCAGTGAAGGAAAACAAAGACTCATTCTTTGCAACTTTACTACCGGGGAATGCAGCATGTACAGGGCTAAGAAACACACTTTCTTTTTTTCTTTTGCTTTTTTTGCTTTTTTTTTTTTTTTTTTTTTGGATCAGACATATATTTATAATTGTGTGCATTAGATATTTTTTAACCTATCATCTAAAGCATATAACAATACCAAAAGTTCCTATATTCTATGTTAGTCCAAGATTGAGTTAATTAGGTAGTAATAAAGCATATTATTATTACTAGATTAATTAATCTACCTAATTAATTACTATAATTAGGTAGTAATAAAGCCTACCTATTAATTAATTACTACCTAATTAATTACTATAATTAGGTAGTAATAAAGCCTCTGGGCCAGGGTGGCAATCTTTTACGCAGAGGTAGACAAAAATTGGATTTCTGTGGAGTGAAAACCTGTCAAGCAGGAGGATTTGTAATCAAAGTTGATGATGTTTTCACCATCATTAAAGTATATAAATGATTTGTTGTCATTAAACACAGGATTTAATTAATTTTTGTCAAAGATATTGACAGCTTGTCATGCCCCCAGCTATACAGCAGGCAAAAATAGCCTTCTCCAGTGCAAGCAAAATAAACAGCTAAATAATTCATGATAGTGAAGTGAATAAATCCTAGTAAAAGAAGGACCCTTCTCAGTCAGCTGACTCTTCTCTACACTGCCTATCCCCTAGAGCAGGAGCAGACAGAATACGACCTGTGGGATGGATGTGGCCCGTCAGGTACTTTCATCTCACCTACGGTGCCCCCCAACAAATTGCACCCCGCCCGGCCCTTCCAACCATGAGGGTGGGAGTGAGGCAGTCATGCCTACACCTCCCCCCAACATACCCTGTTGTGCCTTGCTTCTACCCACGTGAGCAGAAGGGCCCAGCCCAGACAGAACGCAGCTTCTGGACAGGACTGCTGCTGCTGCTGCAGCCACCGGGATCCTGCTCAGCTTCCCTGGCATCCAGCTCATTCTGGGCAGCAGGTGGGGGTGGGGGCAGAACTGCCACTGGGTGGGAGCGTGGGGCTGGGGCTGGCAGCAGTGCGGAGCTGGTGCCCAGGGGGGCAGTGGCAGCACAGAGCTTGGGTGGGCAGGGTGTGGGTGTGAGGGAGGGTTGGGGGGTGTGGGGACCTCCCCCCCCCCCCCCCCCACTCACCCCCCGGGGCCCCCG